CACACACACACACACACACACACACACACAAGTTACTGTTTTATAGTATAGATGAAATGCTTTTGTGTAAATGTTTTAAGAGTAGCAGCTACCCGTTGACCAGCTTCCCATTTTTCGAAAAAAACTTTTAATTGATGTTGTTAAAATATTTATCACATTAAATATCTAAATTTTTTTATTATTATTATTTTACATTGTGTTATTTCTTTAATTATTGTGAGATTTTGGTTCTGATATAATTTTCACACATTTTCTTATTGTCCAACTAACGAAACCTGTTTTATATTTTTGCCTTTTTATATGATTGGTAACTTTGATACTATAAAAAGCCTTTCATCAGTTCAACAAGAAGGTGTTTTTGACAGCTACAATATTCATTTTGTTACTTTACATTGTGTAATGCATTACTTATAGCAGCTCCTAAGTATCAAAGGTATGTGTTTCTTTGAGTCTTATATTTTTTTAATTTTCATATATTAAGGAAGTATTTGTTGCTTATCATGGGATGCAGAGCGTCAGCTTTTGTTTTCTGGAAGTTTTGATCAGTCCATTGTAGTTTGGGATATAGGTGGTAAACAAGGAACAGCTTATGAACTGCAAGGACATCAGTAAGTAACAAACTATCATGCTTTTTTGTCATCCTGGTACTTATCTGTTATCTTATATGCACATAGGCATGAAGTCATGGTACATAATTTTTTTTCAATAATAAAGAATTTAGAGTATTTATACTTTGAACTCCTGAAAGTCTAGAAGTTCATGGATTTGAGATAAAATAGATTTTTATGGTTATAGAATGAAATAAAAAAGTTGATGTTTGTAGAGAGTTATAAATTATTGCTATCATCAGTATCTGACAGAGTGATTACTCATAAGTGTTAATATTATGTTGTTCATTAGTTTTCATTTGATTTATATTTTAAAATGACTACAAAAACTACATCAATATGTAATTAAATATTAGTTAAGACTTGCATCAAGTAATTTACCAAGCCTTTTCTCTTCATAAAGTGGTTTAATAACTTGTTACTTGATTGTGAATAAGTGAGTTTAATATTTTCCTTGAATGAAGACTTAATATAAAAACATCCATCTTATTAAATTTAGTTTGTTTTAGAGAAATGTTTAGCAGTAAATAGATCTTTGGAATCTTGTTTATTGATTGTGACTGCTTGATTTGGTAAAATGTATACACTATTCTATTCTGAGTAACTTTGATTCAGGCAGTTTCAAGTGATATAAAAATATCTACAAAAAATTTACCTTAAGCTTTAATAGAAATTGTCAATTATTAAATCCAGCAGTTACATTTTTGTCAAATAATTATGAATGTTTTTATTTTCAGCAACAAGGTCACTGCTTTATGTTATGCTGGAATGTCCAAGCAACTAATATCAGGAAGTGAAGACAGTATTCTAGTTTTTTGGCACATGGAAGTTGGACGTCAAGAAGCAAGTTATTTTTTTAATATAAAATCTTGATTTTTACAGTTGCATTCCTATTTATTTGATGAACTTAAAATAATACAATTAAAAGTTAGTTTTTACCATAGTTTTGATTTATTTTCAACTGCAGTTAGGAGATACATAAGAATAGCTTTTTCTATTCACACACACAATTTATAATGCAGACTTTCAAAAAGAATTGCTTTCAGTCTACAGTAAATGTATAAGTATTAGTGATTTTAAATGCCAAAAAACACAAAGAAATTGACAATTATTTAATAAAAAATAGATGGAATATCAGAGTACAAAAAGGAAGTACTTAAGATATGTACAATAATTTCAACAAGTTAACTGTATGTATACTGCAGGGCATAAAGTGTGCATGTCACAACACATTTTTACATAATTACATTCAAAATTTGTTTAACACTATTCTTTGATAACTTACTTCTTGTTTAGTATAAATTACTCATTATTATATAAATATTACTATGGCAAAGTCTCATTTTCATAGTATTAAATCTTCTTTGTATATGTTTGACATAAGCTAGAAAATCTAATTCACTTACCACGCCTCTCTGTCACATCATCTCTTTCTCAAATTGCCAGTAAATCTCTCTGATGTTTTATATTATGTCAATAGAAAGACAACGTTTTAGTCTATCAAATGGTAATTGTTTTTGGTACAGCATATTGTCTATTTCGTCTTCAGTTTGAAAGTTTGTCTTGCTGTGTGTTCAGATCAAGAAGTTTAAGGAAATATTTTAAGGCCCTTATGTCAAAGTTAGAAAGTCTGTTAAATTATAATAGTTGTAGGACATTGTTTGCTTTGAGCATGTTAATATTTTGTGTTCTTGGGTGCATTATTTAAGCCAAAAAAATTGTTTAACTAGTACCATCAGTATAATAATAATAATAATAATAAAAAGGCTTAAATTCTATCAACAACTGACAGCAAAAAAAAACAAGAAGTCAAAGGTAAGTATTATGTTTTTCATGTGAATTTCCCAATACAGTCTTCTTTCTGCCCTCTAAGCATTGCTAAAAAATTTTTCATGCTCAGTGCACCAGTCTATGCCAACTTCATGTCAATATTTAGTATGTGACTACTCTCCATCAGTCATATTGAACCACCTATACTGGTGCAGCTAGCTCCCTCTGCTATTCCCACTCAATTCTGACTTTCTTGATTGGCACTACATCATTTATGACAGGTTTTTTGTGTGTGTGACTATTGTTTTCAATTGAGCATCTTTGCCTTTTAAAAATTTGTTTTTGGTGTTTAAATTTTTTTTATAGTTTCAAATTTGTGTGTTTGTGATCAATTGTTTTAACAATTTTATTTTATTTATTACATTTATTTTTTTTCCCTAATTCTAAGTGAAGGCTCAATGTATTGAATGCAGAAGTGCCTGTTACGGTGAACAATGCTACTGGTACGAACTTCCCAAGACTGGTTCAACTTTACCTGCAGAGAAGGTACAGGCTTTAATTTGCAGGGAGCTATATTCATATGTTTAGTTGGCGATTTCTCCTCCTTTTCAATCTAACTATGTTCCTGAAGATGAAGACAATTTGGACTCCCTTTTTATGGCAAACTTCTTATTTTGTTCAGTCACAACGTATACATCTTCAAGAGGTTTCGCCTTCCACCCCTTTTTTACAGGTTGTTATTTAAGTAGGTGGTATATTACGTTTCCCTTGTTGCCTATGATGCCTTCTTCTGAATTTTGTTTTCCCCCTTCACCTGACATTATGGTTCATGCTCAAAGATTTTTGGATCAAATTCAGTGAGGTGTTGGTAAGCCCCACCCCCACCCCCTCACTTGTCGGACCAACATTCTTTGTGTACCATTGCTCTTCAGATCCATATTTAGATTCTCAATAAGTGGATCCTCTACTTCCTCTTTGGGGTTCAAATCTGGGAGCAATTGTTCATTTTAATCAGGCTGGATAACCAATTCACTGTGATGGATGCCTACCTTCAAATTCCAACTGCTCCAGTGTCACTTCAATTTCTTTAGTTCCTCAGTGTGGGTTGTGTCTTCCAGTTCAGGCACTGCCATTTGGACCTTCTCTGGTTTCATGTGTTTTGTTGAGTGGTATGCTCTTTTGTCAGTTACTTTCACTCATTGAGTCTTCATACTCTCCTTTTCATGGACGATTGGCTCCTGTTCGCCCATTCCCAGTCAGTCAATCACATCTGCTTACTTCTTTGGGAAGCTAATCAGGTGGGGTTATCTGATCCAGTTGGAGAGGTCCATTCTTCACCACTTTGGCTCAGGGATATGGTGCATGTGGTCTCAATGGCTTTTTCTTCTTTTTTTCTCACTGTGTGAGAGGTTCTCTCTTTTGGTGATGTGGGCTTCCTTGGATGCTCTCATCCCCTTGCTTGATCTTGCATGCATTCCCTTCAGTGGATGCTTCTCCACTAATAGAATTTCTCCCACAATTCCTTGGACCATCACATTACCCTTTCCCCTGGGATCAAGACCAACCTAGCTTGGTGGCTCAACAGGGAACTAATCATGGTGGGGTTTCCCATTACTCCATTCTGTCTGGAGTCTCATCTGTTTACTGATGCTTTCTTGGTAGTCTGAGGGGCTTTACTCATTTCCCAAGAGATTTCCGATTGATGGTCTGTCAAGGAAGCTACTCTTCATTTGAACTTCCTTGAACTTTTGGCAGTTTCTCAGGCTCTGTATAATTTCCTTCTACTCCTGAGGGGGCGGGTGGTTATGGCTCATTCTGACTATTCCACTGTTGTCAGCTACATCACCAAGCAAGGAGGAACCAAATCCAGATCTCTGTGTTTTGACATATTGGATCTTCTTTACTGGGCCCACGACCACAACATGGTTATCTTGGTTATCAGTGTCATGAATCTGGCTGATTGCTTATCTTAACCCGCCCAGTTTCTTCCCACAGAGTGATCCCTTCTTCCACAGGTATTTTGGTTGGTGTGTTCTCAACTGGGAACATTGCATATAAATGTGTTTGCCACTCACTAGAATGGCAAAATTCCTTCTTTTAGGTCTCTGGTTCCACATACTTCAGCTCTGGGGATAGATGCATTCAGTCAGGTTTAGAGAGGTCTTCACTTAACCCTCTCGCTCCTGGTACCCTTACCTGTGCATGACACAAGGTTTAATGTCTTACCGTCAAAATTCTATTGAACTACTTTTTGTTTATGTTATACCAATTAGAATATCATAAAATCTTAGCTAATAATCCATATTTTAATAATATACAAGTTTTAAGTTCTTATTTCTACAAGGAAATATATGAAA